ACTCTACATATTTGTTTTAGTATATTAAACAGTCAATTAGTAAGAAGTTGTTTTAAACAATATAAGAGTTTTGAACTAACCAGAAGGATAAGTAATCCTACGACTATTGGTATAGTAAAACGCTTAAAATGTTAAATAAATAAAAAAAAAAAAAGATACAAAAGGTCCTTCATAATAAACATAATTACGGATTAGTGTAAATCTTTACTTGGAATTAAACTTGCGTGTCACATTAAAAAATATTGAGGTGGCAATATGTTGTGCCTCAGAGATCAACTAGGGTTAGAGTTAGGGTGAAGATATGGGTATAGTTTAGGCCAGTCAGTGCAGATCAGTTAATGCTAGTCAAATAGATGATATCTGAGGTGCCTAGTTGTCACTTAAGACAAATTGATATTCGAGGTACAACATATACACATATATGCCAAACCTTAATTCTCGAAAGTCTAATAAATCATAAGCTTCTACACAAGAGCTAAAAAGCCAAATTAAAATTCAACTGATATTAACCCGGGTGGATAACTATGTATACCCATTCAAATGTTATAACCGGGAATTTCAGAAGCAAATTCAGGCCTCATTCTAATGCAACCATCAAAAGTTCTTTGTCCACTTAATATACACCATTGACTATAATACTCGGATCTTTGGCTTGATAAAATTTCCAGGGTGACATAAGGTATAACTCTATAAATATTGCTTGAATTAGTTATGCCCTTTAGATAATTCCAGGTTTGCAAGATATTACCATTGCAAAAGTCTATATGAATTATAAATGTTATAGCTTTAATTTAGCCTGCTAATTAAGATTCTGAAAATTTACTCCTAAAACTTACAATATTCCACTATTAGTGTATCGAAATACCATCATATATTACCATTTAACTGGTAGTTATTATTGCAAAACATACGATTCTCAGAAGACAATGCGTTAATATATGGTATAACAATCAAATGAATCTGAAAAATGTACATCAAAGGACACACCTGTTATCCTAGTGAACATAATGCAATTGTTATGATGAAAGTTGATAAAGTTAATCTTGAGATGTGAATGCCCATTCGATCAGTGAAAAGCTATTGATAAAAGTTTGATGATGATATAAATGATATAAGGTTGGGTGATCATTTTGAAGGAGCGATGATAGTACGAATTTGGAAAAGGTGTAATTAACAATGATAAGGTAATTTAATTGTGATGTACAAAATGGACAGTGATAGAGAAAATAAGAATAATAAAAAAAAGGAATGATAGTTAGTAAAAGAGGCATTGATAGAATGTGTCAGGCAAATGACAAAAAAAAATTAAATTTATCTATGTTGAATAAAAGAATAACTTAAAAAATTTCATGATCTGTTTATCAAAGAAGCCACCATAGAACTTTAAATCTATTATCCTTAATAATTACATGGTT